TAAAATGATTAATATTAAACCTGATTAACACCTTGTATCATTTAGATTAAAATAAATTGATGATGTTAAAAAAGTTTACAGTTAATTGTTCAAGTATAATCACAATTAAGGAAGGTTAATCAAGGTTAATCAAAGGAGAAATCAAATTGTTTTTCTCAATTGAATCTTCAACCTCTTCAACAATCAAATCAAATCTAATTAAATGATTAATCTCGTTCATGTGAACATCATCTTCATCTTAATCATTAAACTGGTACTGTAATTGTGATCTTAATTGTAGTTAAATTGTAATAACAATTAAATCAAATAAATATGAACCAAAACTCAATCTATATGAATAAAAAACTTTTCAACCCATTGGAAGTCAATCTATTAATTGTTAACAATTAACTATTAGTAGAGAGCAAGAAAGTATTTCTATAGATTAAATTGTCGTTAATTGTTGACAATTAACTATGTACAATTAAATAGACAAAATAACGATGATAAATTTTGAGGTGACAATTTTCAGAAGTTTGAAAAATCAAATTGTTTCACAAATCGGTTGATAAAATTTGATTGTAACTTTACAATTAAAACTGATTAATTAATCTTCACATGATTAAACTAAATCAGAAATGACCAAACTAATCAAATTAATTGTTCCCCATGAATATAAATCATTTTTTCTGCTTCTTTTCATCAATATGAATACAAACCTTTCCCTCAATGGATTATAATCATTTTCATGTTGACTCGATTGTCCAATCAGTCAATTCATAAATTAATTGGTTAACAATGATAATAAATAAATTGACTGACCCATTGATGACCATCGTTGTTGATGAGGATGAATGAATGAAAAAGGAAGGAAACAGAACAGAGGAAAATAGACTTAAAGTCTTATACTGACCATAGTTAATTTCATCTTTACTGATGGTCAAGCCTTCGTTATCCTCATTACTAAAGCTCATCCCTTATCCCCTTATCCTCTTTGTGTCCAGTTCTTGACCACACACACAACCTACAACAGCGAAAAACTTTTTCATCCTCATCTCTTTTTTTTGTGGTCAACCTCAAACATTATCATCATCATCATCATCATCATGAGATTAACATTGTCAATAGGTCAAGATATGAAAGCAACAAGATATTAACTATCACAATAAATGATACTGACCAATAGACTGACCCTTTTTATGAATTATGATTTAAGGTTTGCTTATGAAAAGGAAACAAAATTAACTAAATTGCTGTTGCTTTTTTGTTGGTGATCACAATTTGTCAGTTATCTTCTTGTAATCATCAATTTCTGTTATCTATCAATATTTTATTTCCAATCTCCTATTAACTTGATTACTTAATTGTTGATGATATTTAGTTAATGATCAAAGAGAAATACATCTATCGGATTAATCGTCTTCTTATTTATCATCTTTCCACTATGAAGATTAGTCTTAAACTGGACTGGTCAAGTCTCTCTCTCTCTCTCTCTCTCTCTCTCTCTCTCTCTTTCATCTTATAATTTTCTTACAACGGATTAACTCAATTTCATGTCAAGTTAATCACCTGGATAACCTTGTAAACCTTTTTAAATTATATCTCATCTTGTGTCCAGCCTTAGCTCGTAGTGGTCAAGAATATAAGTAATACGCTGAGAATTGATATTCTGAAGTCTGATTAATAATATGAACATGATTTGTGTGCCCATGGAAGAGTCAAGATTATTTATTTGTGTTGCGAGAAAAAAAGTTCCGAAATGAAATGAAGAGATAATTCTGATTTCATGAAGATTAAAATGTTTACTCTTATGAAGATGATGAAGATGAGCATGAAAGTAAGGGTATTGTGGGAGGAGAAGGTGGCACTTTAATAGTGAAAGGCTTAAGAGTGGGAGTGGGAAAAGGAGGAAACGTTAATATCTCTTGGCATTGGGGAAAAAAATATCAAAGAGTTTGAGCAATAACAAGTTAACGAAATTATCGTTATCAAATATTTATGAACAAACAATTAATCCTCCAAAAGGGTTGATCATCATCATCATAACTGTACATTGATGACCAACTTAATCCCACCTTCATCACTAGATTAATATTCAACTAACTATAAATATCATTTACTATGAATCCTTATAATAGCTTAGGTGGGCTGGCCCATTGGTTTTCATTGGTATCTTTAGATGAATAAGAGATATTTTATCTTCTCTTTCTTTATCTTCATCATCTTCCAGGTCATCAAGTGATAAAACCTTTAATATTTTTCTTTTCATCCTCATCTTCATCTTCATCTTCTTCATCTTCTCTCCTCTTTTTCATTATGATGACGATTTAAATTCATCAGAGGAATTCATTGTTTTCTATGAATGGAAATGTCATCATGATGATTAACTATTCTCAATTGAGCTTATCCTTTGATTATCTCTGACATTTTGTAATCTAATCTTAATTAATAATAAGCTCTTTTGTCTTAATCATCTTGTTGTTTTGTTTTAATCAACAAAATTACAATTATAATCATCGAAACAGAATCGAGATAGTTTACTAATCATAATCAAAGGGCTTCTTGTGTTAATTTAAATTGTTTCGCATTTCCAATTAACATCACTGATACACTTATCAAATGATCAATAATCAACAACAATCAATTTAACAACAAAATGATCAAGTAAATTGTTTCTCTTAGTGTAAAGAGATGATCATGATTATCCATGAATAAATTAGATTAGTGATAATCCTAATGATTAACTGATTGTCCATGGGAATTGTTAGTAAAAAAATATATATATAAGATCAAAGATCGTGTCAATATACTGAATGTAAGATAATAGCTGGACAATCAATCTTAATGGTCAACTTGATGATGACCATTGAATCAATATATTTATACAATTGATATACTGGTTTCATTTTTATCAATTACCAGGATTAACTTTCACTAATTTCAACAGCAATCAATAGTAACACAATCAACAATTAGATGGTAACACAATACAAACAATTATTGTTATTATTTTACTTTATTATCATCACATATATACACATACACACACAATTTAATTTGATTGTTACAATTAAATCAGGGACCTAAATAAAAAAAACAATAACAAACAAATAGATAATTATATTAATGATAATCAAAAAGCAAACTTTAATATGAAACAATCAAGGATAAACAATTTAATTGAGTTAAATATTAATGTTCAATAAAATCAATAGACACAATCAAAAAAAAATGTAATAAAAAAAACAATCAATCCTAATTGTTATCAAGGTATTATTTAGTTAATCAATTAAGTTTTTGATTGTTGATTTAAACATAACTTTATGATTACATATGTAATCAGTGGATGATGATTTAAGTTAATCAATTGTTAGTGTTAATTGTGACTTGTTGTTGGTGTGTTAACTCAAATGTGAACATAATTAACTAATCATTTGAATGTTTATTTTTCTCTCAATCTTAATTGTTTGCTTTTAAAGTAAATTGTTGGCTTGGCAATTAATGATGTCGATGATGATGATCATGATGAGGGAGATGATGATAGTTGAAGTGTGACAATTTAAATATGATGAAAAATGGGAGGAGGAGGAGGAAAGGGCGGAGGAGTGAGAGTTGATATATAATGTTGATTGAATGATAATGATGTGGTTTTTGTTGTGATGATGATAATGATGATAATAATGAGCATAATGATGATGATGATGATGGGAGGAAGTGGAAAAAAAATCCTCATCTTTTAAGGTGTAAAAAGTTGATGACAAGATATCATCACTTGGCTTCATTTTCCTGTTTTTCATGATCTACCTTAAAAAATCAAGTTAATCTGGAATCCGAGTTTAATTGTGACAACTTTTTGTCACAATTTAAACTTGGATGATTGTATTGAGTGTAAATGTGTATGTGTGTGTGTGTGTTGCATGGGAATGAAGATGATGAGGATGAGCGGATGAAGATGAAGATGAAGATTAGAAGTGAGAAGAAAAAGTTTTTTTCGTCTTTTTTTTTGTTTCGACTTCGTTTCTTATTGAATGTTGTGTCCCTTGGATACATGAAGATTTTTAGTTAATTATTTGTAATGCCATTCAGATGATGATGATGATGATAAACAAGAAGATTAGATGTGAGTGAGAGAGAGGTGAAGATGTGGCAAGGTGATTAAATGAGAAGGCGGGGATGATGAGGATGAAAGTGATAAGAATAATTGAGAAACATGGTGATGAACACTGACAGGGAGAAAAAAAGAAAAAGGAACAAGATGAGGAAAAGAAGATGAAAATGAAGATGAGGATGATGATGAGAATTGATGTTGATGACAAAAATCAACGTAACCCTGTTAACGGGCCAGATAATTAGTTGGTATATTTACAGAATTGGATGAAAATGTTTTCGCTTTGATATCAATCTATACACAGAATCTCATTTGAATGTTTAAATATATTGTCTCCGAGAAAGAGAAAGATAAATGATGATGAGAAAGATGAAACAGATTAAGGTGATGATCTATACTTTTACTGTTAATGGTTAAGATGAAGATTAACATGATAGAAAGAGAGATAATTTAATCACAATTGAAATTGTGGAGAGAAAATGATAAGGTCGTTGTTCGAGGTAAGGTTCTAATCTCGAATTTGTATCTGGATGGTGATATTTTTATTCTTTCCTTTTAATTGTTGGTCCAAAAAAATATTTTTCTCTCTTAATTGCTCAGACATATTCTCATTTGGTTATTAATAACTCTTTTTTTCTTCTGATTGTTGGTGATAATTGTTAATGATGATTAACTAAAATTAAATGATTCCATTTTCGTCCATCATCTTGTACATTTACTTTTCATCATCCATTTGCAATTCCAAGTTTTTATATGATTGTTTTACTTTGATTTACATTTTTATCATCAACCAACCAATATTATTAATATTTGACCTTTTAATTGTTGACTTGATTGTTTCGATTAATTGGAAAATTTTGATTAGTCTTTTTAGTTGAACAATTGAACAATAGATGGCGCTTTTTTTGGGCCAGCTGATTTTCTAAAGAAAATGTTTTCATTGTTTGTTTATAATTTTCATTGAATTTGTTAATTGTAATCAATTTTTAATCGTTATTGATTGGTGCTTGTTTTAATACAATCTAGAGATAATCTTTGTGCAACTATTGGTGATTGGGCTTGACCGTTATAATCAAGTAAGTTTCTGTTATTCGTTTTGTAAAAAGCTGATAATTTACCGATTGGATGTTTTTGTTGTGTATTTGGTTATCTTTTTGATTAGATTGATTGTTTTTTAATTTTCTCTTCTTCTTTTTTCTTTGCTGATTTGCGTGGATTTAATTGATAGTAGCCATGGGATGTGATGGAGGAACTATTCCAAAACGGGATGAGTTGGTTAAAAAGAAACAAAAACCAGAAGAGAAGGATAAACAAGCCGACACTGCGGCAAAGTGGAATTACTGTACAATCAGTTGTCAACAATTACGAAAGCCGATTGTCTCGTGTCCTTTAGGATTTCTTTATAATAAAGAAGCGATAATTCGTTATCTTCTTGATAAAGAGACAAAAAATGAAACAGTTTCTCATATTCGTGGTCTCAAGGATGTTAAAGAATTAAATCTTACCGAAAAACCAGGTTTCGTTGAAAAGGCCGTTGAAAGTGGACTTTATATCCAAGAATCACAATACATTTGCCCTGTTACTACATTAGAAATGAATGGAAAATATAAATTCTGTTACCTTCAAGCTTGTGGATGTGTCATTTCCGAAAGAGCCTTGAAAGAGGTAAAATCAGAGACATGTCACAAATGTGGAAAACCTTTCACCGAGGAAGATATAATTATCATCAATGGTACCGATGCCGAAATTGCGTCAGCTCGAATCAAAATGGAAGAGAAAAGATTAAAAGAAAAATCGGAGAAAAAAGGAAAGAAAAGAAAAGCGGTCGCTATCGAAGAAGAAGGTGAAAGTTCAAAGTTCTCCGTGGAAAAGTCAATAGCCGATGGTCAAGCAAGTGGTGCAGGAGTGAAAAGTATCAAATCGAAACCGGATATGACCAAAACTAAACCATCAACATCCGCAATTCTGTCAGGAAAAATCAAAGATGATTATTCAGTTGCTAAAGATGAGACTGCAAGTGAAGCTTACAAATCATTATTCACTTCACATCCATCGGCTAAAAATAAGCCAAAAATCCCGATGTACAATTGTAGTTAATTCAATTAATTGAATTTACTATTAAATGTAAATAATCAAAAATTGTACACACAAAATATTGACACTTGCTGATTGAATATCTTTTAATTAACTTGCAAATTGATAATTGTGACTCTTTTTCTCTCTAATCAAACCTGTATCATTTCAAACGTAATCACAAATTGTAATATAAAACTAATCTAATAACAAAAGTCAATAATTACAATTATCAATGACACATGGTAATCAAATCTACAATTAAGGCAAAAAAAACATACAAACAGAAATGATTGCAGATCAATTAATTCTGACATTTCCCTCCAAAGGTCCAAAAAGTAATTCAAGTTAATTGTTATCAAGAAAAAGCGAATAGTATTTCAATTAGAAATCCAATGTTTGAATAATTAAGTAATTCCAATTTTGTTTGTTCCATCAACGTAAAAATCAGCCCACAATCCAAATTGATGTAAATTGTTGAACGTTTCATGTTGATAACTTTATGGATTCCACTTTGGTTTAAAGGATCAACATGAGTGATAAAATATTTTTATATTTATAATTAAAGCTAAATATATCAACAGGCAAATATATATCGATGAGTATAAATTGTTAATCAAAGTGAAATTTAACTTTGACAAGTCAATCAGTTAAGGAGTTTAGAATATTATATCATTTAAAACATATGACAAATCTAAAATGAAAAATAACAATTTAACTGATTCCTTTTGAAATAAGTAAAACGATTACGATGATGAATAATTAGATTGAGGAGAAAACGAAACCCCGAAGGTTTTTTGTTACACTCATGCCATTAATCATTATCATTAATATATATAAATATGAATCTTTTTTTTTGCCTTGGAAAACAGGTTGGCACATTTTCTCTGGGCGGTTGGACAAGCCAAAATGGAGGAGAGGGTGGATTTAGCATTCACATGGTGTGACAGATGAAAATGATATATCCCTTTTGACTTGATCTTTTCTGGGCCCAAAGTAATTAGCATGTAAATTAAACCAGTAGAGCTTTAATTTGCTTGGGAGTATTTTCATCGTTCAGATGCTTCGTGGTGTACCTGTTGTTGAACATTGGAAAAAGGAAAACATTATTAACAATTAGATTAATTAACAGATTAACTGATTAAAAAGGTAAAACTAAAGTACATAAAACTTTTTGTTTTCTGACTCTCTTTTTCTCATCATGTGATTAATTGTTGATGACAATTGACTCTCTTTTTGTTTTGTACCTTAAGGCGTTTAGTAAACCTTCAACTACATTTGATGGTTGATCTCGTAACACTTTGATGGTTCCTTTAATATCAATGGGTGAAGATTTTGAGAAAGCACCAGACGGATGAACATGATCGTAAAGTATTATCACTCCAACCATAACTCGTAATACGAATAGGATTGTATCGCCATTTTGGAAACGTGAGCAAAATTCACTGGGAAAGAGAGAGGAAAGTTGAAGAGAAATAAAAATAGAATTAAGTAAATTGATATTATAAAGTATTAGACAGAAGAGTTAGCGTGAGTATATTATATTTTGTTTCAAGTAAATGATGAAAATTTGCGGAAGAGATTAAGTGATTCTTAGTTTTTTTTTAAATAGGCTTAAGAGAGATAATTTAAATTGTCATTTCAACTTTTCTCACTTTGGTAGTAGAAAAAAAAAGTTTACCTGGAGACATTCAACTTACGGATTTTCAATCATTCGTTGGCAAACTTTAGCCATGGTACTAAGGGTTTCCGTTGTATTGTCCATGGGAACATTTTTATTACTAATAACGTAATTTGAGGTGACATCGGAAAGTACTTTTAACATCGGTGTTGCATTAGCGTAAAAGAGAGACATTCGATTGGCCAATTCTTTTGATAGATCATGGTGATATTGTCGATAGGTTAAAGTGCCCGGTGTAAGGTTACAATCCATTGGTAAACTTATACGGGAAGTGGTTCGACGATAATAACTGAAATCATTTTGTATCGATGGATTGGACATTTTAAGATCGTCAAATTTTAGGACAAAATCAAGAATTTCGGCAAATTGTTTAACCAGCGCTTGTTGAGTTTCCAAATGATGTTGAGGTGTCATTGGTCCACTAGTTAAGGCTCTCAATAGTTTAGGAATGACCGATTCTAAGAAGCAAAAAAGAAAACAAATAAATCATAATTAATATTCGTATCCAATATGTTAAATATTCAACAATCAAATAAATTTAAATCATAGAAGCAGAAAAAAAATAAGAGACCAATTTTTTAGTAAATTTTTGGTGCATTTTTAACCGGAAGGTAAAACTTTCTGTTCCCGGAAACCACAAGCAAACACACACTGGAAAGTATTCATCTTGCCGGATGTGCAATCACATTGAATGTAAATTAATGTTTAAAATAGTTAAATTTTTGGTCCAATTTAAAATTAATAAATCAAATTGAAAAATCATCGAAATTGTTGTATAATTAATCTTTTAAAAGTAAAGAGGATCAACAAGAATTAATGATTCGAATAGTTGATTTGTAATAATCTTTGCATGATTAACTTAATGAGAAGATAAATTGAGTAGAAAATTTTATCGATTTTCGTGCAAAAGGGATTAAATTGTTTTTACCTAAATGGACTGAGAAAAGGTAGAAATCTTTCAGCTTATCGACCAATGGAGTTACCGTTTGCCAAGCTTTCATTTGGATTAAGTCGTTCTGTGGATTAGCAATAGCCTAAGAATTTATATATTAATACATAAGTGGAAAGAAAAAGAAGAGATAAAAAAGAGAGAAAAAAGTAATCGAGATTAATGATAATTTTTAAAGAGAGTAAAATTAATAGTAGAGAAAGAGAGAGAAAAACAAAGAGATATATTTATATATTTCTATTAGTAAATGATGATAATCTTTATGAGAAGGAAATAGGAAGACAAGATTCAGGATGACATATTCCCGGTTTTGTGGTTATTCAGTTAAAAAAAACACCAACAAAAAATTTTGAGGCACTGATACCATGAGAAGGGCAAGAACACAGTCAATCAATGTGACAGTGTGAAGGCGAGGATAAAGTAGCGCACTTTTTTTCTTCTTCATGATAATGATGATGTTTTTTTTCTGGTTGAAATGAATATTCAAAAGAATCTTTTTCTTCAATTCCTAACATGAGATTAATTGAGCTGGTGGGTTATTATTGTTGCTTTTGGTTGGTGGTAGTGTTCAGGGTGAGAAAGAAACTAATCATGTTACCTCTCTGATCTCGTTACTGGCGCCTTTATATGTTTGAAGTTGATGAAGTAAATCGGATGCTTTGATTAAGACCATTTCAACTTCTTGGAAAATCTGTTTCTCCGATTCACTTGGTTGAGCATCTGTTTAATGGAAGAGAGAATTTTAAGAAAAGAGAATAGAATTAAAGGTTATGTAGGAATGATGAGAAAAGGAAGATGAAGAAATAAATACAGAATAAGGTGAATTTAGGAGATAATGAAACAAGTAAATTCTGTGTTACTCTTGTTTAGGAAGTAAATAAAATTACAACTAATGGGAAAACACTTAAAAACATTGTCGATAAGTAGAGTTGATTTTATGGTCATCAGTGGACAAGAAGAGAGAGAGAGAGAGAGAGGTTGAAATTGAGAGTCCATAAAAAATTGACCGGAAAGATAAGCAACCAGGTCTAAGTATTGGAAATGTTGATGTGATACATCAATGACAGAGACGATTGACAAGACAATTAAGACTTTATTACTTGTGTGTTCTTAAGATTATATATCAGCTTTTTAGTTTATTGTGTTGTGTGAGTTGAGATGATGATGGTAATAAGGGAAACACGAGACATACATTGTGTTGGTGGGTTAATGAGATATATTTATGGGGGTGAATGAGAAAAAGAAGATGATACAGAAGGGAATATTTAAAAGAATGGAAAGGAATCACGCAAAGAGAGAGAGAGAGAGAGAAAGAAAAGAGAATAGAATAGAATAGAAAAATGGAAATAAAATGAGAGAGAAAAAGACAGAGAACTTACTTTCAAAGTCAACAAATACATCATATTTTGGAGGTTCATCTCTTGATAATAATCTCAATAGATTACCCATGATGATGATGATAGAAAATGATTCAGTTAATAGTAGCAGAAAGAGAGCTTTTGTAATTGAACAGCACACACAAGGATAATGTTGATTTAGAGATGAATTTTTTTTCCAAAAGTAAAATGTTTCAAGTGATGAAAATGAAGTTACAAGCAAACGAGAATAGAATTTAGTTTGGTAGAAAAGAATAGAAAAACATTGTAAACACTGGAAATCAAAACACCCAACGGAGAAATAAACACTTCTAATAAACGATTAAAGAAGAAATTAGAAACCAAAACAATCAGCTCTTTAATCAAACAAACTGATTTAGAAATTACATTGATTGTAGAGAGAGAGAGAGAGAAAAAAACAAGAAGAGATTAACAAGTGAATTAAACAACAAGAGAAGAACAAAATTAACAGTAAAAAAAAAGATTTTCAACCAAATCGTTGCCGATGGAAAATCAGTTAAGAACAAGAATAGAATGTAAATTAATTGACACAATTAAATAGAGAATCAGTAATGATTAATGTTGACAATTAACGTTTAGAATCAATAATTAAGTCAACATGTTGGAACAAAAGGAAACACTTGATTGTGAGAGAGAAAAAGAGAAATAAATTGTTCATCTTTTTTTTTCTTCTAATGGATTAGCTCCGCCTTCGAGGTGTCGCCAGTTTCACTCAACAGATGAAAAAGTAAAAACATTTGTAACATTTTCTCATTGTGATTGTAATTAATTAATTTAGTTATCTAACAATTAGTGATTCTATATTATAATTGTGTCTTTTAAAGGAGATGTTGTTTACTCACTGCAAGTTTACATGATGATGATTGTCTTTCACTTTTATTAATCAACAAACGAATGAAAATGTAAGACAAATGGAGAAGAGAACAAAAATTTATTCTATTCTATTTTTTGATACAAATGGTTAACTTGATGTTCTTTCCGTTTTTTTCTTTTAATTGTTTTGTTCATCAATTTTGTTTATAATTAGAGTTTAATTTGTTTAGAAAAAAAAATTCTATTCTTATTTTCTTGATTTGATTCTACTTTTTGTATTTTCTTTTAATTGTGTTTTCTTTTTTTTTCTCTTTTACCTTTTTTTTTCTCCTTTAGATAAAATACTTTCCTTTGTTGCTATGGGTCAAGTGTGATTGGTTCTCCTCCATTTAATTGTGATGGTCACTTAATTGTTGTTTGTGTCCGATTTTTTTTTCTTTTGGGTTTTCTTTTCTTAAATTCTTTTCATTACATTTCATCTGAAATTTGCAACTAGCAACATGTGAATATCTAAACAAATGTATAAATGGATCATCATCATCAGGAATTATGTTAACCTTGTTGATTGTTTACATATATTAATATATAATTTCCTGAATGAATCACAATTGATTTAATTTGGTGTTATTACAATTTAGATTAGTGATATGAGTTTATTCACATTAGCAAAAAAAAAATATTAACTCAACTACGTTCATGTTGCAACAAAACATCAAGATGATCAATAACCATGGAGATTGATGAGATTAGTTTGATTATCCTGTTAATCAAATTATGCTTCTTACTGTTAACATGTATTCATATCAGGTGATGATTAACCAACTTGCTATTTGTGATCTGATTGTTATTTTGTGAAGTGATTACCAGAAAATCTGATTACAGGAATAGTCACACACTCAATTCCAATTTTTCTCCGAAGAGAGAAAGAAAATGATATTAATACCGATTAATTAATAATCAGAAAAAAAAGTCAACAATTCTGATGGCGAAAAAAGAATTTCCATTTTAATTGTTTTCTTCATAAATTTTAAACCAAGATAACTTAATTTACTTTTATAATCTTTCCGTTGATAATGAATATATAATTAAAGAGAAATTGATTGAAATATATTGATTTTGAATTCGTTTCATACGATTTTTCTTATAATCTCTTTTCTCTCTCTCTCTCTCTCATTTTCCTCTCTCTCTCTTTCCTTTCTCTCTCTCACTGGATATTTGTTTTCACTTCTTTTTCTGTAATAATAAATTCTAAAATTGATCTAGAAAATTAGTTAATTATTATGTTGCACTTGAGCTTACAGCCAATTTCTTCAAGTGATCCATAAATGTTTGCAAGGAAACATCATCAGTTAAAACGGGAGCGGTGGTCGACTGGTCACCATAATAGCCGATGGTTGTATTATGGGTTAATGATGGATTAACTTTGGATAAAAGGAAACGAGCCTGAGATGAATTTTGATCACAGGGGATGTAACGTGGTAAAGGAAATCGGTTTAACATTAATTCATTAGCATCATTTACTGGAGCCTCAAGAAGCATTTTAAACGATTCATAACCAGCCTGTTCTTGGTAACCGGCTTTCCTCCATTCGGCTATCGATTGACCTCGGAAGATGACAATATGAAAGAAAGTGTCCATCAAGAGTATCCGGTCAGGTTGGATGGAGCTTGTGTCCAATAAGACGGCATGAGGAGGCTCATAAAATGAATAAGATACCAGGGTGGGTTGGATCATGATTAGTGAGTTGATACAATCTTCACGGAGAAGAGCGTGCCGATAGAAGGAAGTTTCATCGGGAGAATTGTTGAAAACTTGAATAAACTGTGATCGACGAAGGTGAAACATAAACTGAGGGAACATGCTGAAGTTGGGTGCAAGTTGGAATGATTCGGGAGCATCTTTCCTAAAATCACCGAAACGCTGACAGAGTCTAATTAAATTACGATCTAACCAGCGTAACACATCGGGACCATTTGATTCGGCTTCGGCTCGGTGACAGGCAAGACGAGCAAGTAAAACACAAGCAGATTCTTGATCAAAGGCATAATCTTGAGAGCTCAAATTACGGGAAACGGTAGTGACACGGACATGTTGAAATCCATCGGAACCCTGATATTGAGTAATGAATTGAATGTAACCCCGTTGAGAGGTTTGAGCGGCTGTGGCTTGGTTTTGTGAGACAATATCAAAATAGAAGGCAGTTGACACGGTTGGTGTTAGCGAACAAAATTTCCATTGAGCTGTACCACCAATACCAATTTCGGTATCACTTACGTATTGATTACGAATACCGCTTGATATACATGGACCAATTGCACCGGAAACCTTTAATTCCCTTGAAGTTTTAACCTCAAGAACAGCGTTAAAGGCCATCTTTAGATTTTGATTGCTATCCTTGTTGAAAATTCTTTGGAAGGAAGTTTTAAAAAGACTCGAATCAAATGAATCACCTAGAATTATATGACCTCCTGTCATATTAGAACAATGTTTCATTTCATGGATTCCCGTTTGATCGAGGGCACAAGCATGAATATCAATTGTATGTCCATTATTTGCACTTCGAGTTGCTAAGCCTTGATAATGTTTAATCGCTTTCTTCATGAATTTAGCTCGATCACTTTCAATATCATGATGAGATCTAATTGTATTCTTGTGATCATCATCGATTATCATACCAGGACCAATGGTACAAGGACCATTGATGAATAACATTATCCGTGCACCACAATTAGGATATGTAACCTCCAATAGGCTAACAGCTATTGAAAGAGCCGATCCAGTGGCTCTTAATGGCCGTTTACCTTGAGGTGTGGGCCAAGGATCTTTGTTCAATTGATCTAGGATATCGGTTAATATGGCTCCACACTCGGAGATTGGTTGTAAAAATTTTGACGTATTATTTTTGGGTAAAGCTGCAGCATGATGAGGATTCCCATGATGACCCATCGCTCCAGCTTGTGGTTGACCAGTTGGACCAGTTGGCCGATTGGCAGCCGAGATACCAAGCCATTCTTGAATCTGTTTAGCGGTGTAATCCTTACCACCTTGGAAGACAAATGATTTAGCGCAAGATGAATTGAGCTCCCAAAGACTGATTATCCTTCCGAAAGTGATTAGACCAACCAAAGCATTTTGAGGTAACAGAGAGAAAGATGTTTGAATACTTGATTTAAGTGAATAAAGCTCTTCCTCATCAAGACAAGTATCAACCACAAATAAGAAAATGGGACCGGTACCAATTGGACCTCTTGTAATCGTATAATCTATTGTACTAAACTGAGTTTCAGCAAGTTGAGTCAAATCTTGAATATTATTATAAGAGGTTGGAAAAGGATTTCGATTAAAACAGAAACCACAAATCCAAATTCTCGCTCGATTATCGACTTGACAGTGAGGATTAAGGATGGCACGACAATTTTGCCGGGTACATAAAACAGGCTCATAGGTTATTGGTGGTATGGGTCGGGTGGTCGACTCTTTTAACGGGGTAAACAGGCAACCCAATGGTAGAACAATTTTGGTCGCTTCAACCTTTGATTGTGGCCAAAGGTTCCAATTAAAGCGAACACCATCAACATCCTCCGCTGATTCAATAAACTCTTGAAATCCATTTGGATTTGCCATAATTTCTTAGCCGATTAAAGAAACAAGCCAACACCTAAAACCGGAACAATTAACTAGATAAACAATCAATTTCTATTAAGGTTAACACATCCAAATAGAAATCAAAGACCAAACGATTAAACCAAACAATCAACAAATTTCATCAACAATCAAACAATTTGCTGTAAATTCAATTGCTGAGTTGTCAATTGAACAACAAGGTGATCGCAAGGGACCATCTCCAAATTACAATGAATTCTGTTGCTATTGGCAACCGAAAGTTGATCATTTTTTTATTGATTAACTTTTTTTTTATTATTGTTGGTTCTTAATCAATCTGATTGATAGTGAAAATTGTTATATTAATAGGACGATGATTTTGTAGAGTTTTTCTTTTACAAAATATAAGATTTTGAAATAGGTTGGGAGAAAATCTCTATGTTGTGAGTGTTAATTACAATCGAAGATGAAACTTTGAAATTGTCCTTTTTTTACTGAAGATCCATTCTTGAAATTAGCATAAGGTTCAATTCTTGCTCTTGGATTTTTTATCTTCCAATTAACTGATTGTCTTGTATCTCCAATAGGAACATTAATTGAGCCACAACCATTGATTCCTGAGATTACAGTTAGCTCTTTAGCATGAGTTCGCCAATTGTTGTGTCTTAAGATCATGATCAAGGAATAGCGAATACGAGGTAATAAATGGATACATGATGAGAGAATAATTTGATAAATTGATTGATCACAAAGTGAACCATGGATAAGACGACGAGTTATTGAGAAGATCCTTTCTCCACCAGCGACATGCCAAAGTTGAAGGTTAATTATTGTCTTTCCAATAGATAAATGTTGAAAATTTGGAGTGAAAATACCAACACCAATTAGTCTAACCTTTGTATCGACAATCAGATCAATTTGATGAATTTCTTGAGGACATGAAGTAACCATAATCATTTTAGAAGATTTGAATCTTTCTAAACTAAATCCCAAAGATGCCCGAGGATTAATTGGAAAAGGAATTGATGGTTTTGGATTATCTAAGAGCCAACTAAGTATCAACTCGTATTCGCTTTGTAAAAGGGCGAGTCCACTTCGATTTATGGTCACCAATTCGGGTACTTTCATCAAGGTAAATCGAATCAACTTGAAAACGGGTCCAAGAAGTAACCTAAAAGAGTACATACAAAGAAGAGTATTAGTTGATTGACATTTTTCATTGACCCATTGAAAGAGAGCAGTAAATAAAGTCCATTCAGTGATTCTTAAAGTGTCACGAGAAACAATCCAACTTAAAAGACGAGAGTCACACTTATAAAGAGAAGGTTTTAAAATTGCTGAGATACCAAATTGATCGATAGTTGATAAACAATGTTCGCGAACAATATAAAGTTGAGGAAATGAATCAATATCTGAGTCGCTAATTTTAACAAATTGAGTTAAATAGTCAAGAGCAGTTCTAAATTGTATCCGAAAAATAATAAAACGATAAGTAACATCAGCTAAACCTGTGAGTCCCCATCGAGCTGATAACATTAGTGTCTCAATACAATGATCAGATTTAATATCCAATCGACCTTGATAAAAGTATCTCAATAAAGTGACCACTGTCTCTCTATGAAATGGACCAATGTGAAAGATTGAAGATGATGATGGTTGATTTGGAGACAGAATATTAGCAAAATAAGGTGATCGTGACATTAATACCTCTCGGTGACAAATGAATCCAAGTAAAGATGAAGATTGTGGTCCCTCTATTGTTAGTACTTGATTGAAATTTATACCTCAGTAAATGTAATTTCAATTGATGGAAGGTCAATAAATGAAGAATCAAAATTACCCGGTAAAGTAAAATCCATTTGGAGGAAAAGAGAAAACCAATTTTTCTGTCATAAAACAACAAAAAAAGAACAAATAAATAAACAAATCAAGAATTTTATAAGATGAACAACTTCTAGATTAGATTATCAACAATTAGAATGAAAGTTAATTGTTAACAATTAACCATCGAATCTTATCTTTCATTTCTAAACAACATTCTCAAAACTGTTTACCTTTTTGTTGACAACATTAATCAAGTAACAAGACCAAACAGAAATGGAACATAATTGACATAATTCATTCTAATCAATTTTTCATCTCTCATGTAACACAAAGACAATGAACAAACGAACATAATTAAAATCAATTTAATTCCAAAATTAATCACCAATGAAGATAAATAATCAAATTAATTGAAAAGATGAATGAAAATTTCACTAGAAGCAAATCATTTGTTACAAATGAATGGAACTTGAATGAAAAGGAAAATAATTTTTTTTTTTTTCGCGCGAATCTTAAAGAAAAGATTTTGACAAAAAATCGTCAACATAATCGAGCGAAGTGAAAAACAAAGATCGTCCAGTGTATTTCTAATCTTTATAGGAAATTGTAACAGTGGATTAATTGTGATCAGAGTGATTGTTACAATTAACTTAATCACTTGTATCGGTAACCATATTTTTGAAAATCTTTGCAAATGACATCAAATTCAATTTTAATTACTCCTTTGGTGTTCACTTTAATTACTCCTCGATCCTCTGATTGTCCAACGATTTTACTATCGATAAATTCTGATTGTTTACCAAATATCCAAGAAGAGAATGAATTGAATAACGATGACGATTGAGGAACGAAAGCTGGAATTTCTCGTTGATGATGACCTGGAATCGGTGGTATATGAATCGATCCATAACCAAGAACAACATCATTTCCAAATGAATCATATCCATAAACTGATAAAACGATCAACGGCCATTTAAATGGATTCGATGATCTAAAGGTAACATCAATCGATAAATTCCAAATGGACATTGATCGTGAATCTCGAGTTTTGATCGACACTTGAGAACAACTCTCTTCATTACCATTGATTATCATCCAATCTTCACCATAAAGGAAACAATATTTACAATAAATGTTATCTTTTCCAGGGAAATGACCACTGACCACTTGTCCTTTCACCGAAATCAGAAAGTTAGCTGAGGTCATTTCCATCGCTTCTCGAGCCAAGTCTCTTTTTGATTCCTTTTTCACTTTATCTCCAGTTTCCTCCATGATTAACAATCAACAATCTGAATAAATTGTCTCAATAAATCAACCGATCAAATCTACTAAAGAAACAATCTAATCACTATAACTTGAATTCTCTTTGATTATTTTCTGTTTTCTTTTCCAAAATTCGGTTACCAAGGTGAAAATAAATTCTAAAAGTAAACAGATAAATCGAATCACCATCGAAACAATCACGAAGTTAAAAGTTTATTAGATCAATCGAATAGTTCAAACTCGATGAACTATTGTCCGGTCGCTATTGGTGATCTATCAGAATTGAGAAAATGGTTTTGTTCAAAAATCGTTGTCCTAATCGAGCGAATTGATTGTGAGAGAGAATTTTTTTTTCTTTATGTGAATTTAATTGTTTTGTGTATATTATTATACTCGAAAATTACATTATTGTGATTTAGCAAAGAAAATTAGAGAGAATTAGAGAAAAGAGGGAGAGATGATTTAAATGCCTCGGATTGAAGAATCTCTTCTGTAACAAACGATTGGTGCCTTGTAAGACCAGGTTGAGGTTGATTGGTATTGAGCGACCTCGTCGATAACTCGTTCTTCAGAATCTACGACCCATTGGTGGAAGACTGGGTGCATTTGTGGGAAACATACAAGTGGAACGGTAATTTCGTGAGTGGCCTCAGCATCCTCACCATTCAAACAGGTTGGAACAACGTATTTAGAGAAACAGTTTTCTCCATTTTGTTTAACAATAAGGGTTTTTCGAATGGGTAAATAGAAATCACCATTTCGAGTATCGAAATCGAGATGACCGATCTTTGATTCGAGAGTTTCTCGTTCAAGTCTCATGTTGTTGTTTGAGAAAATAGTGTCACTGTTGTAAACTCGTCGTTGGTTCTTGTATTGTTCTGGGTTGTTTTTTCGTGAGGTAACAGTTGGAACAAGATTGCAGGTTGGTGGGACAGTTGGTGGAGTATTGTGACATTCACCGAGTGAGTATGAGTTTTGGAAATCTTCGATAACTTCGTAGATACAGTTTTGGGGTCCTTGGAGCTCCATGTGTGCTTCTTGGTCTTGGTTACCGCAGAGACCACAAGTCTTACCCATGTAAAGTGGTGAGGTGACAACCTTGACCAATTGACCATCGGTAACAACTCGAACGTGTTCTTGTGGAAGTTCAACAACGAGGTAAGCATTTTGGACGAAGATTCGAACAGCCAAAATTTCAAGTTGTCGGTTAAGAATGTGTGATTGTCCTGGCTTAACGGTCTTTTGTTCACCGTTAATTTCAATGATAGCTTGGTATTTGTCGATTGATTTAACAAGGATAACTTGTTTTCCAACGATAACCTTAACTAATCGGTTCTTTGGTTCAATTTCTTGAACGGTAACAGCGAATCGTCGAGCGGGTGAACAGTCCATTGACAAAAGGTATTCACACTTGGTTGATGGCTTTTCGAAGGTGACATTGTCAAAGGTTCGAATGTGGTTAACCATTAAACCGCAAGTTTGATCTAAAGGGAAGAGAATCAAGATTAGAATTTATATTCGAAACCTCGTTCTGATTGATCTATTTACCTTTTGGAAGAACTGAAGCCTTTTGGAAGAAAATTGGGTGGAATCCAGCGAATCGTTGGATTGGGTAGAAAAGTTTGTACCAAATGGAAGTTTCATGTGGAGTTCGGATATCAAAGTTGACAACAGGTCGACCGTTGAAAGCGTTTGAGTGTTTGAGCTCGAAGGTGATCTTTCCGTCAACATTTTTCTCAGCGTATGAGGCAATGGTTGACCAGGGTCGCCAGTATGAGTTAAGGTGAAGCTTAGCTACTTGGTAGAAAAGGTTGGTTGAGTTGACCAATTTTTCGTTAAGGTTTGACTTGAATTCAACGGTACCAGTGACCTTGTTGAAGTATGATTGCTCGTGAGCGACAAGTTGGCAAGCGTAGCTCATGAAAGTCTTTTGCTTGATATCCTTTGAACATTGTTCGTGATACCATGATTTGGCCTTCATTTGTTCACCGACAACTTGGTCGTCAACAGTTCGGTGTAAGAAACCATTGATGAAGATGGTTCGGTCTTCGTGGGCAAGAGTTTCGAAAGATTCACCCCAGGTAAGGTTAGCGATGTACTTTCCGATGAATTTGTTCAATTGGGGAACTTCCCATTTGAGTTCAGTTGGGAGAGCAGGTCGAGCGATGTTAGCTTCGATTTGGAAAACTCGTGGTAAACCATAATAAGAGCCTTCAGGTCGCTCAAGGGTTGAAACGTATTTGACCCAGTAGGTTTGGTAGTCGAGGGATTGGATGAGGTAAAGAGTAGCGTTGTAGTGGGTACCGTCTTCTTGGGAAAGAGTTCGGAATGACCAGTTAATGGCTCGGGTAAGAGTTGGAGTCTTTCGGTTAAGCAAAACACCAGGGTAGTTGTAGACCATTTCTTCGGCGATCTTTCGGATCTCCTCCTTGGTGATTCGGAGTGATCGAGTTTCTGGTAATTTGAAAAGAAAAAGAATTAAATTGTTGTTAAATTTTTCTCTCTCTCTTTCTTGCTTTGATATTCTCTTACCTTGTCGGCCGAGTTTCTTGAGCATTGATCGTTCGTGGACCATGTGGTGGTTTTCAGAGTGTTTAAGTTCCTTGTAATCACCGGCGAAAGCGAAGTTGTAGTCGAATGAACCGGCAACTCCAGCTGATGGGTTTTGTTTGTTGGCTCGGAGAGTTAAAGCGGCATCGAAGTTGAATTCGTTCATCTCAGCGTATTTCTCGAGGATCCAGGTTGGGAAGCCCTTGGTTGGGATCTTCTCAACGTTAAGGAACCAGGGTCGTTCAGTTCGGAAAGAAAGTTCAATGTCCATGCCCAATTCTCGTGATGGGAGTCGTGGGTTGGTCTTGAAGGCTGGGACATGTGATTCGATGAGAACCTTCTTGGTGATTGGACTTTCGTTGGCGGGGAGACCAATGTAGTTACCAGCAAGGAAAGCTCGGTTAGTGTTGGAAGTGTGCAAGACTTTAGTGTCAAGGGTTGGCTCAACTGAGTAGGTCAAAACTCGGGTAGCGGCCTCGAAGTTGAATGAAACCTTAACGGGAACGTGGACATTGAACTTCTTGAGTGAGTAAGCACCAAAGTTTTTCTTGATTCCTTGTTGGAAAGCAGAGACGGACATTGATGAAGTGTAGTAAAGTTGGGGAACAAGAGTAGCTTCAACTGAGACTGACTTCAAGGTTGGAGTATCGGGTTTGATGGTGGCCTCTTCGAGTCGAAGAGCAACAATGTTTGGTCGTTGTTTTGAGACGACAATGGGTAAACCGAGGTCACTTGGGACAACATGAACGTAGCCTGATGGCATGGTGAATCGAACCCAATTGTATTCAGTTCGGGCGTTAACTTGACCGACGAAGTTTCGAACAACATGGTTGAATTGTTTGTAAGCAGCTTCGATGGTGTGTTTGTCCAAAGTGAAGAGGGAAGTTTGTTCGAACAATTTGAAGAAAAGTTTAACCTTAGCTTCTTCTTCAGCTCGCTCGGTGATACCAAGAGTCTTGAAGATTTCATCGATTGGTTTTTCACCTTGAACCTTACCGGACTTTGAGAGAGTGGCCATGAACCATTCAGGGCTGAAGATTTGTTCAATCTTGGCGAGGAGAAGGGGTTCAAGTCCCTTTTGTTGGTAAGCGATGGTCAACCATGAGTTGGTCAATGATTTCCAGTGGGAACCGAGTGAAAGGTAACCGTGTCGTGGGATGAATGACATGTTGTTGGCGACATATTGTCCGTTCAAGAAGAAACCAGTTGATTTTTCTTCACTGTACCATTCGTTGTATGAAGCTCGTGAGTAAACACCGTCGAAGTTGTAAACTGGGAGGGTTGGGATGATTTCTCGAGCAGCAGCGGCAAGAGGAAGGTGACAAGCTTGGGTAAGGTTGGCAGTCTCCTCAAGGACTGATCGGACCATTGAGATGACTTGTCGGTTGGTCTCATCTCGAGTGACTTCAGCAACAGCGTGAAGTTCATGGGGCTTTGGACCAGCGGCCATGAAGACGGTGAAAGCAGCAAGTCGAAGCTCGTATGATTCATACTTGTTTTGGAAAACTGGAAGGACAATTGATCGTAAAAGTTTTGGTGAAACGGGAACCATGTGGTGGAGAGAGTAGATGATTGATGATCGGAGGAAGATACAATCGGAAGCGGATGAACCGTTAACGTATTGGATACATTCAGTATTTTTGATGGCACCAGTGATGTATGGGGTGAGTTCCTTAAGAGCCAAGTATTGACCTGAGTGGGCAAGAGCTTGAGCTAAGGCAACTTTTCCTTTAACATCTTCAACTTGTTGGAGTTGGTTGACAAGTTCTCGAATGTATTGGTCGGCATCTTGTTTGGTACATTTCTCTTCGGCTTCTGGGTAATCGATTTGTGAGTCTGAGCCAAGATTTCGTGAGGAAACCTTTTGGTTGGCCTTAACGTATCGGGTCTCAAGTGATTCATCGATCTCGTTTGATTCAGTGTTAACCTCAAATTGACAAGCCTTTGAGATGAGTTTACCGTAGGTAACAGCGAAAGCTGAAAGTTTGTCGTAATCTTTGTTTTCGACGGCCTTTGAGATTTGCTCTTTCATGATGGCAAGAAGAGTTCGTGATGGAGCGTATGTGTTTCGTGGGATGGTTTCAACGAATCGTCGTTCTTCATAGGCTGAGAGTGACTTTTCAGCGAGAACCATTTGGAACCATTCAGCGGTAGCCTTGGTACCAACGTGAGCCAAAGCGTCGAGTAAAAGTTGTCGGACAACTGAGTGTTCGGTGTTGGTGAATCGTTCCTTGTCTTCAATTCGGGCTTCGTCATCGTAAATTTGTTTGATGTCTCGGGCTGAAAGGTGAGCCAAGTTTTGGACAACTTGAACCATGTACCAGGCGGCCTTGGATTGAGCTTCGTTTGAGGCACCTTCCATAACAGTCTTGGCAACTTGGTTTAAGAGATCGACAGTTGGACCAACAAGGTTTTCAGATGATTTTGGGACCAAAATGTTGTAAACTGGGATAACGTGGCTTGGGTAAACTTGAGCATCCATACCCTTGTATGGGAAAAGAGTGAAGGTCAACTCGTTAACTCGGATAACGGATTCCTCTGGGATGAGGGGAATGTTTCGTTGGATTTGCTCAGAGACAAATACGATTGAGTGTTGAGTGTAGACAACGAACTTGGTACCATGGTTGTCAACGATGATCTTACCCTTACCTAAGGCTTCAGAAATGATTGGGCTTTCAGAGTCTAAGGTAACGTTGTATCGGATGGTTGAGTATTGGTCAACTGGTTGAGTTTCCTTTGGATCACATGAACATGAGGTTTCAGTTTCATCGGGAATTGGAAGATGTTTGTTCAAATCGTCCATCTTAATGTGGGTTGAAGCAGCAAATCGTTTGCAGTATTCAACGCAACCATTTCGATCCCAATTGTGTGAAGCGAATGATGGTTCATAGACACAGTTGTCAAAGTTTCGGGTCTTGATGACGGTAAAGTGGAATTTATCAGCACCAGGAAGAGCATCTCGAACTTTGGTTGGATCAGCGGCTTGAACGATTTGGTAGTTGGTTTCACATTCACCCTTGATGGTTGATTCATGGACACCGAAACTGGTTAAACCATTAGAAAGTTGCATATCCTTGAGAAGACCAGATTGATCGACATCATTGGCACTTCGTCGAGCGTTTTTACCAACAATGTTCAATTGGAGCAAATCAATGATTGACTTCTTGATGTTAACTGACCAAGGGGCATCAGATTTTTGTACCTCAATCCATTCAAAGGATTCGGTATCCTCATTGAAAGTAAATTGAACGGGAAGAGCTAAAACATCACGAACTTTTTGTTTAAGATCGTCTTTGATGAAAGTTGCCTTCTCGACAGCGTTTACCTCCTCGAGTAAATGACCCAAGACAATGTTGGTCAATTCCATCTTGATGATGGTCTTTCCATTGTCACCTGATCGTGAGGATTTGATGATGGACAATTCAACAGTTGAGTTCAATTGATGACCAGAGTAAAGGCTTGAGCCTGATTCAGGTAATCCGGTTAAAACGTGGCCACTGTAATCATATTTGTAAATTTGATCAACTTTAAATCCTATGGAAAAGGAAGAGAGAGAAAAAAAGAGAAAATCGAATTAGAACTTTTTCATTTTCGAATTGAATTTCATTCAATAATATTCACTAGTATATTGATCATGATACTTACGAATTGGTTGAGGTTGAATTTCACCAGCGAAAGCTGAGACTACGAAGAGTCCGAGAACAAAAAGAGCGATCTTCATGTTCGATATTTTTTTTTCTCTCCGATGTAATCGTTTCGATCCAAGGAGAAGACTGATTTTGATGGAACTCAATCAATCAGTTTATATACATTTTCTTTCCTCTAATCTAATTAACTGATCGATAATCTTAATTGCTGTAATGATCGGTATTTGATTGTATTGTACAAGTTCAAGTTGATTCTAGTTAATTAGTTGGTCAGCAATTTTTTCATTTCTTTTCATTATCTCTCATCTTTAATTCCCAATCCATTGCAAACTAATCAATTTTTGATGATTTCATTTCAATCTCATCGATTGATAATCAAAATCATCATACTATTAATACATGATCACCTCACTCACACAATTAACTAATCAGTTAAATCAAATGTTAAATCTTAATATGTTTTTTTTTGCAACCAAATCAAATCAAATCGTTTCAAGTGAATTGTAATAGTTTAAGTATCTTACTCTTCCTTAGTAACTAATTAACTACAATTTAATTGATTAATTCAGTTTTTATCAACGAAAAATTTGATTCTAATCAATTTAAAATTAAAACTAAAATCTAAATTCATCGTAAGTTAATCAACAATCAATTGTAAGGTTTAAGGTAAAGTTAATCCTCGAAAACGACAAATTTGTTATTTTGTTCAAAGTTTTGCTTTTTTTAATTGTGACAATTAAAACCTCCGATAATTAAGTTTAATACTAATTGTTATAGTTTGATAATTGTCCACTTTTAAATTAGTTTCAATTAATTTTGGTCTTTGACCCTTTGGAAAACTATTTTTTCATCTTGATTGTTAAGCTGACAAATGCTGTTGAACAGAAACTAATTGTAATTAAGCTTAATCAGCAAGGTGATTAACGAGATTAATTTGATTAATCTGCAAATCGAATTAATGAAAAAATTTTCTCGTTTATCGTTTATAACTTTTAATATCAGGTGATGATTAAACTGTTAATATGGTGATCTAATTGTTTTATCTGTGTGATTAGGATGAAATCAATCAGATCGGATTTGGTTAAGGGAACAATTAGTTGATTTGGATCGCAATAATTTAATTTAACAGAATTAAAATATTTGTTGGTGAGTAAAAAATCTTAAATCTTGAAATAGAAACTGAAATAATAAACATTTCGGTTTAAGACAAGGATTATAATTAAGAAGAAAGTGTTTGAATTGGATCCGATTGTTCAACTTGGAGACATAATTGTGGTTCCAATAACAATTTACCAAAATCGAGCATCGTTAACATTTGTGTGTATTCATAATATGAATTTCGATTGATTTCGTTTGAATCTTCAACTTCAATCAACTGGAATCGATAGTGTAGTGAATTGGATCATTTGATTTGGATTCTGATTGACATTTTCTTAGCATTACAAAAGTAACTGACTATTTTAAAAGTAAAGTGAATCTTGAAATTTGTTCACTTTAAAAAGATGAATTCATGTCAATTTAAATGTTAAGATTATCATCAGCAAAAAGAATCGATTGGCTTTTGTCCAATTAATGATATGAATTAATTACAATCGAAGATGAAACTTTGAAATTGTCCTTTTTTGACTGAAGATCCATTCTTGAAATTAGCATAAGGTTCAATTCTTGCTCTTGGATTTTTTATCTTCCAATTAACTGATTGTCTTGTATCTCCAATAGGAACATTAATTGAGCCACAACCATTGATTCCTGAGATTACAGTTAGCTCTTTAGCATGAGTTCGCCAATTGTTGTGTCTTAAGATCATGATCAAGGAATAACGAATACGAGGTAATAAATGGATACATGATGAGAGAATAATTTGATAAATTGATTGATCACAAAGTGAACCATGGATAAGACGACGAGTTATTGAGAAGATCCTTTCTCCACCAGCGACATGCCAAAGTTGAAGGTTAATTATTGTCTTTCCAATAGATAAATGTTGAAAATTTGGAGTGAAAATACCAACACCAATTAGTCTAACCTTTGTATCGACAATCAGATCAATTTGATGAATTTCTTGTGGACATGAAGTAACCATAATCATTTTAGAAGATTTGAATCTTTCTAAACTAAATCCCAAAGATGCCCGAGGATTAATTGGAAAAGGAATCGATGGTTTTGGATTATCTAAGAGCCAACTAAGTATCAACTCATATTCGCTTTGTAAAAGGGCCAGTCCACTTCTATTTATGGTCACTAATTCGGGTACTTTCATTAAAGTGAATCGAATCAACTTGAAAACGGGTCCAAGAAGTAACCTAAAAGAGTACATACAAAGAAGAGTATTAGTTGATTGACATTTTTCATTGACCCATTGAAAGAGAGCAGTAAATAAAGTCCATTCAGTGATTCTTAAAGTGTCACGAGAAACAATCCAACTTAAAAGACGAGAGTCACACTTATAAAGAGAAGGTTTTAAAATTGCTGAGATACCAAATTGATCGATAGTTGATAAACAATGTTCGCGAACAATATAAAGTTGAGGAAATGAATCAATATCTGTGTCGCTAATTTTAACAAATTGAGTTAAATAGTCGAGAGCAGTTCTAAATTGTATCCGAAAAATAATAAAACGATAAGTAACATCAGCTAAACCTGTAAGTCCCCATCGAGCTGATAACATTAGTGTCTCAATACAATGATCAGATTTAATATCCAATCGACCTTGATAAAAGTATCTCAATAAAGTGACCACTGTCTCTCTATGAAATGGACCAATGTGAAAGATTGAAGATGATGATGGTTGATTTGGAGACAGAATATTAGCAAAATAAGGTGATCGTGACATTAATACCTCTCGGTGACAAATGAATCCAAGTAAAGATGAAGATTGTGGTCCCTCTATTGTTAGTACTTGATTGAAATTTATACCTCGAGTAAATGTAATTTCAATTGATGGAAGGTCAATAAATGAAGAATCAAAATTACCCGGTAAAGTAAAATCCATTTGGAGGAAAAGAGAAAACCAATTTTTCTGTCATAAAACAACAAAAAAAGAACAAATAAATAAACAAATCAAGAATTTTATAAGATGAACAACTTCTAGATTAGATTATCAACAATTAGAATGAAAGTTAATTGTTAACAATTAACCATCGAATCTTATCTTCCATTTCTAAACAACATTCTCAAAACTGTTTACCTTTTTGTTGACAACATTAATCAAGTAACAAGACCAAACAGAAATGGAACATAATTGACATAATTCATTCTAATCAATTTTTCATCTCTCATATAACACAAAGACAATGAACAAACGAACATAATTTAACCCAACAGTAACACAAATAGAAAATTAAATTAATTGAAAGTCTAAAAGGTGAATAAATTAAATTTTCAATAGAAACAAAAGATTGGAAATTGAAAAGAAAAAATTTTCTTTTTTCCCGCGAATTTCAAAAAAGAGATTTTAACAAAAAATCGTCAACATAATCGAGCAAAGCGAAAAACAAAGATCATCCAGTGTATTTCTTTTCTTTAAGAGACTGAAAATGTTTCATTCGATTTTATCTCTTTCATGATTTGGTTCAATTCTCTTGAAATTCCATACGTTCAACATTTAGATAAGTTTATTTTATCATTTCGTTAGTGTTTCTCTCCAACAGGGATAGATGGCGGTAGTTGCGTTTTCTTTTTTTTCTGTTTATTTTGGTTCATCTGTTTACTTATTCCTTACATATCGAAAGTCATTTATTGCATTCAAATCGTGATTTTAATCTTTTAATTGTTTGAAACTCGTTAACTCGTTGATAATGTTTGAATTTTGTTAGAAAACAACATAAAATGGAAAATATTACCAAGAAACCAAGAAAAGGAATTTTAAAATCAGGCTCAAGCTTTGAACAACATGACTGTCAATCTAAATCAAGGTTAGTTACATTCTTGTTTAAATTACGTTTAAATTTTTCTTCTCTAATCACTTTGATTTCCTACCTAATCCTGTGTTTTATTTTGGTTATATTAATTAGTTTAGAATCTTTAGTTTTTCATTTGTTTACCTTTGTGGTTGTTATGATTCATTGTATTAGAAATTTGGATTCTCATTAATCTGTTGTTATTTTTTTTTCTTTTCATTTATTTGCAGTATCGAGTTGATTAAATGGGATGAGATGAACATTTTACAAACTTTGCATCCACCGGATAAAGATTATGGTTTGATGAAGATTGAAGAACCCAAGACTCCTTTCACTTATTATAAGGATAATGTTGATGGTGAACCAGTTTCAGATGATGAACGAGCTTCAGCTTCATCAACAGCAACTTCCTCGGGACCTCCAATATTTGATATGGAAAAAATTAAGGAAAAGGTTAAATCAAAGCCCAGGGTAATGTTAACCTCAGAAAGTTCACTTGAAGAGGAGGACAATGATAAAGATTGGGATGAATTAACGGAAGAGGAGAAGAAGAAAAGAAAAGAATTCGATGTGAAAAGAAAAATGCATTATAATGAATATCATGCAATCAAATTGGCTCGTAAATTGTTGGAAGAAGAGCAAGATGAAGATTCGATTCATCCAGACGATTCAATGGTGACAAATGAAAATCGAAAACCAACCAATAGTGAAAAAGATGGAGGCGATAATAATAATAACGATTATGATGGAAACGATGAAAGTAATCAAATGGAATCAGATTAAATTAAGTCTTCTTCATTTGATTCCAATCGATTAATTCCAAAATTGGCCTCGAGTATATTAGAAATCCTCAACTATATTAGGCTAACTGATGAGTTTTTCGTTCAAACCATTGATTAGCAGTTGATAATCATCATCATCATCACAATTTAATCGTCATTAACAAAAAAACAATTGAAACACAATTTAAATCACCAACGAGCTAACACCCTTGATATCACCTTAAATTGAACATATCAACATAATCACTATCACAAGTAGTCATCAAACACACAAGAAAATCATTAGAAAAGCAAAAAAATGATCACCAATCTCACGTAAACCAATTACTTAATCATTATAAGTATTTAATCAAATCAAAACAAATGGAAAGTACCTAAACAATCAAATTGAGATACAATCTCTTTATTGATTGTTGATCAACTGATCAAAAAGACTTAAACATAATGAAAGTAACAAAAACAAAATGATCGACAAAAATTTCACCAAACCAAACATGACCTTTAATTAACACCAAGCACAAAGTGGTCATTTTAATTGAAAGAAATTAATTATCTACATTTAAATGTATTCTTATTATAAATACAATTTAATTGTTATATTTGGTATTTGATTTAAAATTAAACAAAATGAAATGATTACATTTGAAAAGTTTTACCTTTAAACCTGATAGATGGCGGAAAAGTTTCCAATGAATTCTGATCGATAACATGAATCAACAATGATGATCGCATGTTCCTGGAAAGAGAGAAAGAAAGAGAAGAAGAAGATAGAACTTCGAACAAAATGTTAGAACTGTTTTCGAAACAGTTCGAGGCTGAGGTTCAGTCGAAAGTGTCAAAAAGTTGATCCGAGGCAACAGAAAAGAACCAAAAGAAAATCAAAAATTGGATGTAAAAAAGTTTCAATCTACCAAATGACGAATGTAATTAACAAACAATTTACTTTAAAAAAATTATTATCAGTTAATCATCTTCACCATCAACCCTTTAAATAACAATCAACAATTAGCCAGAAAACTTTTTCCTCTCCTTTTTCTTAATTGTTAATTATGTTTCCATTGGAAAATTATCACTTGTCAACATTAATGTTTTTATTACTCTTGATATCGTTGTTATTAAGTGAATTAATTGTAACAATTGATTGTATCAAATTAGTTAAAGTTAAAGTTCCCGATCAAGTGACCAAAGGTTCGGACGTTGAACTAAAGTGTATCTATGACCTGGAAGGGAATCCGTTATATGCACTCCAATGGTTTTTCGAAAAGGGGGAATTTTACCGATATGCACCCAATTCGAATCCAAATGTAATAACTTTCAATGTTACCGGAGAAAAAGTCAATGTAAGTTTCGAGCGAAGTGGAAAATTAGTTCGAAAAACAACTTCGAACTCTTAGAAAACCCAAACAATTACAACTTTTTTCTTCTCTCTCTCCAAATGTTCAGTGAATTACTACGAAAATTGTGATCTGTTTATATGTTCAATTCTGTGACCTAATTGATATCGAATTCGTAATTTTGAATTCATATGATGTCACCCTGACATATGAACTTTTTTTCTCTCTCTCTCTCTTGATGATAATATCATTTACAGAGTATCAGAAAACTGAGTTATCATCATTATTATTAATGGAATCTCCATGTAAAAAAGTTTCTCATCATGATGATGATAATATGTTAATCATATTAAGTTTCAACTAATTAGCTTTCACCAATCATCGAGTTCCCATTCAACTGAACTCATGTTTCCATGAATATTATTTTCCCTCTCATTTTGTTTCATTATCATGAAAGTTAATTTGATTAGAAAAGTTAGTGATTAAAAACAACAAATTAATTCTCAAATTGTTAATAATTAGCAAAACAAACAATTAAAATTAATAATCAACTAATAATATAATAAGATAATTACCCGACTTATATTAATATTTGATAACCAAATTGAAATTACTATTAATAATATTAAGTTATCATGTTAATTGTGATTAGTAATGGTCAAGAGGATGATGATAATGACCATTAAGGTGTGTTAATTGTTGATGATTAATGTCACAGTAATTTACTTTTAAGTTCAAACTGAATGTGATTCTTATAATAAATGATCAATTTAAATCTTTCCAGCTAATCAAGTAAATTGTTGTTCTAAATTTAAATTTGTTTCCACTTAATTACTTTTACTTTTCTCTATACAATTAGTTAATTTCTTCCCTTATCCACTCAATCATTTAGACACACATACACACAATTGATCAAATGAATTATCATTTTCACCTTTAATTGTTAGATAACCTTGTCAACACATTTCCTAATCATTAATGATAATGATTAGGAAATTAATTGATTACCATGTAATTATGATTATGATTATTACTCATTAACGCCCATGGTAAAAAAACTCATATTCACATTTCCTTAAATTCATACATAATATTTATCTATTATCTTGACCATTCACTTGACCATTTGAAGGAGTAAAATTTAAATGTAATAATAACTTTAACTCAAGAGTTAGATGATTAATATGATTAAAATTGTATATTATAAATTAGAAAAACTAAATTACTCATAAAGAGGCAAATATGCACTTCAATTGTTGATAACAATTAACTTTTTAAATGAATTAAAAGTTGATTATATTATCTGAATTGTGATCAGTAAAGTTATTCAGTTTCTATTATTACTATTATCATATTATCATTATTATTATTGTTGTTATCATGAAATGAATCAAGTGATGATGAATTGGGAATGAAAAAAAAAACTTTTACCTCTATAATCATAATGATAATCATGATCATGATTGTTATTATCATGATAATGATAATGATAATCAAGAGACATTCAGTTTTAACAGTTGCAAATATTATTATTATCATGAATCGCCTTTCATGATAAGTTGCCCTCTTGGGATAAGTTGTGTCCCTCTCTCATCATCATCATCATCACAATGTCCACTCACTCATGAGATGGTCAAACATCTGAATTGATGATAATCTCAATGGTCAGTTTCAAAAGTATTTCAAACTTTTTAACCTTTTCCTCTTCCTCCTCATCCTAAACTTTATCTTTCCATAATTATGATTAACAATTAATTTAATGAGTTTATTATCATCATGATGATGAACACACAAAAAAAACATCCATGTGAATGTCCATCCATTTGTCAGAGAGACAAAAAAGAGAGAGAAAAAAATTTATTATTATTATTATTCTTCAGAATTTCCAATTTTCTTTTTCAGAACTTTTTTCTTCCCTTCTTTTCACATCATCATTTCCCCTCTCATGGGAATCATCATGAACATTGAATAACTAATTAGTTTGATTGTTTTTTTCTCTTTCTCCATCTAATCAATATTCAAATTGACCAAGAGAAAACTTTAATCACCAATTAAATGATGATGATGATGATTATTATCGTTAACAATTTTCTCTGTCAAAAGTAAAACAACCGCTTGACCAATACACTGACCACAGTGAACATTATTATCTAAACTAAGTTAATCTATTATAAAGTTAAATTAATCTCAAGATAATGATTGATCATTTATATTATCAGTCTAATGAAAAGTTAATTGTTATATTAGTATTGAAATGCTAATAATAAGCTGAACAGTTTATTATTGTTAACATGATTTAAATTGTTAAACTAAATTAACAGGGTAAATAAATTATCTCATTTTCCGTTTATAGTTTCAGAAAACAGGAAGTGGTTCATTTATTATGATCAATCAAACTATTTCCGACTCATATTAATGATGAATAATAATTAACAGCAATCATAATCCATATATAAATTAATCAGCTACAACAATTAAGCTTTAATCAACAGGTTATGTAACATATTGAGCAATTAATTGTTAATTGCAAGGGCTAATTGACGATGAACCTTTTTGATTGTAAATTTTTCTGGTTAATTGGTTCATTTAATTTACCATTTTTTTTGCTCATACATTTTAATAGTTAACATCATGATAACAATTAACGCCTTGTTGATCTGGTTAATTAGTTAATTAACCATCCAAAAGGAAGATCTCAACAATCACGAGCAAAGTTAATCATAGATTTTAACAACAATCTCAATGGCGACAATTAACAACTTTAGTTAATTTGTTTTCGAGCTGAACAAAAAAAAAGATAATCAAGATAATTACATGAGGATTGAGAAATTGTCTTGATTGTTGCAGTCAACTAATTGCCTCGAGCAGTTGAATATAAAAAAGTTCATCTCAATGGAAGATGAAAAAAGTTGATGTCTCAATGATGACAAGAGTTTCATCTTCCATCACCCAATTTATTTTCCCTCCTTCTATCATGAGTGTGTACCTCCCTGTGTGTGGATGATGGTCAGTTGCAAGGGAAGAGGGATAGAGATGAGTATATTTCTCATCTTCTTTACATAAGATTTACAATGGAAATGAATCATTAGGAATATTCCTTGATTTCCAAAGTTATATTAATACTATTGGAGGAAAGATGATGATGAAAGATGAAAGAAGGATGAAGGATGAAGAAAGAGGAAGAGAGTGGACATTGAAGTGAATGGACCTCATGTGGTTTTGTAATACACAAGATTTGAGTATCAAAAGAGGTTATATTAAAACTGGACAGGAGGAAAAATACTAATATAATATAGCAAAGGGAGCAAAAAAAGTTTCGATATTAACTTAATCATTTGGACACAAGAAATCTAAATGTATATACGATTTTATTATCTCTTATTTTTTCAATCTTCATCTTCCTCATCTTATGGGTCAATTTTTGTGCTATTTTTATAAACACACAGTTTATCTTCCTCTTCTTCTTCTTCCTCATCCGATCTTGCATCCAATGGTGTGATTTATATAGAGAGAGTGGCTGGGGGTGGATGAAAGATGCTCCAAAGAAAGATTGACTCTGATGGTGGTACCCTAAGGAGAGGAAGATAAAGATGGAGATAGAGGTAGAAGACGAAGAGAGAGAGAGAGAGAGAGAGTAAATAAGGTTTTCCTTAATCTAGACTTGACTTTGGACTTACTCAAGTCGTTTAGGATTGAGATGATGAAACAGCAGATAAGAGTTATGAAGATGATGAGAATAAGTGAGATTGGGAGAGAGCAATAGAGAGAGAGAGCCATCACTGTTTCATCATTATACGAGGATATTTCTCTCTCTCTCTCCACCAAAGTTTATTGAAAAAATAGTGACCACTTACAATGTTAATATTATTATATCACGATGATTATTATTACAGGAACAACATAATATGCATTATGTTTATCTTCGTTATCATTATTATCTTCATAATCATGACAATTGTTCATTTTGCATCCAAGTCTCATACTGAGTTTGCAAATGAACAAAGCATCCGAATGTAATAAGAGAAAAGTTGATAAAACTTTTAGTTAGAACTTTCTTTTTATTGTTTTTTGTTTTCATCGTGAAAACCAATAATATGAATAACAAAAAGTTATCGAATTGAATTGAAATGATTTTAATTTCATTGATCGTTAATTTCTTTCCATTAATGAATCAAAGCTCATTTATCTTTCCAACTCTATCATTTTCTTTTACAACACCAACCAAATTCAGTCAAGTTCTTGATTCTTAACAACTTGAGGATCAGGAACAGTTTCTGACAGAATTCATGGTGAAATCAAGAGCTTAATCTCAACATCAAATCTTTACAAACTTTTTTTCAGTGTTGCAAAAAAAAAAGCATTTCAAAATCACGATATCGCAATCAACTAATCAATTGCAATTGTAATCAACTGAAACTTTAATCACAACTCAATCAAATGGATTGAAACTCATCACTCACAAAAATCAGTTTAAAACTTTAAAATCCTCATGAGGATGAAGAGGAGGATAAACTATTAACATGGTAATCAAATGGGAAACAATATGAAGGAAACAATTAACATTGTAAACAAAATGAATTAAATTTAATGAGTAATTAAAATTGTTCACAGGTAGAGACAACAAAATGGAGCAGGTAAATTGCCAATGACAGGAGACAAGTTGAATTAACCTGATGATGATGATGGATTAACTGTAACCTAGACAACGAATTGAGTTTTGAACATTTTGAACTTGAGTCGCAAGAAATAATCATCTTCATGGAAACGGAATAACAAAAAGTTCATTAAATTGATGTAATCATTAGGGTTAGAAATTGAAATTGTGTATTAAGCTGAGAAGCTAAAAGAAAACATGAAAAATCAAATTCAATCTCTGAAGGTAAAGTGGAAATAAACAAGAGAATCAATTTTGTGGAATCACAATTTACCATTAAATGATGAACAAAATTCTGATAATAACATGAAGCCCGAAAGATAAAATAATGAATTCAGATTTATTTTTATTCTTATTTGTCTATTTGAATTTCCATTACCAATCATGATAATAATCATGTTGTTTATTGGTAATACATTAAACTCTCAATGGAGTTGCAGGCAAATCAGTTGATTGTAAATGTTTACGTAATTGTTTCTGTTTAGATTGAGTTCATTACCATGATTTATCATTCATGGTGGTTCTATCCAATTATTCACCATGGTGAAAATGAGTTGATGCAACAGATGAAAAATTCATATGAACTTTGAGAATTGAAGAAGAGAGAAAAAAAATAAACAGCTGAATAATTTGATTTTCCTCTCTCAATCTTTGTCCCACCTTCTAGAAAAAAAAATCCCACCAAGGGAACATCGTCCTGAGTAATGTTGGAGTAAATTCAACGGGTCGTTATAAGTGTGAAATAACAGCCGCGATCACTTACCAGACCGATCGAGCCGAACATTTTATGCGAGTAAGTGGTAAGTAAATATATTAGAACTTTTTTACCTTTCGAATATCAATCAATCGAGGAAAAGAATAAACTTTTTTTTCTTTCCTTTTATTTTCCTACAGCCAATTCTGCAAGCTCCCTATGGGCTTTACCTCTATCATCTTCACCATTTTCATCTTCATCTTGGCTTACCATTGGCTCGTTTCTGTTGATGCTCATGAAATTTTTCCCACTGCCACCATCGCCTTGACATCACAATTACTGTAACATAGGTATCATCAATATCATTGTAATACAAACTCACATTCACTTTGCCTCTCTCTCTCTCTCATATATCTAACCCAGAAATGGGAGCGGAAGTTAAATGAAAATAAAAGAAAAAGTAAACAATCATGAGCGTAATTAACTTAATCAGTTTACGATGATGTTTAAAAAAAGATCCTCAAGTTTTTGTACTAAAAAAACTCTCTTTAGTTGTTGCTGATTGCATATTGATAAGTGTCATGATGATCATCATATCGTCATCTTCAGCATCATCACCATGATGATCATTATATTGTTCAAGTTTATCATTTTGAATGATGATGTTGAAATAACAACACCAACTAAGAAGATGAGAAAGTTTTTATTACTTTCACTCCTCTAGTCCAAAGTATCTAATATGATTTTCCACCTTCAACTATTTCTACCGCCATCACCTTAAACTCTGAAACTCTGTTTAGGATTCACCAGGATATTTCATCTCAACTTTTTTTTCCTTCATGATGATTATCATTATTATTATTGTTATACAGTAAATGCTCATCCAACCAGCTAACACATTTATGCTTTAGCATCACTCTTATCATTTCCCAAATGAATCCGATGAATCTCACTCCTCAAAGGAGCAATCATCATTCTTCCTCTTCATCATCTTTATCATCATGAAGATAATTTACCCCTTATTCACCCTCAGTGGTGATATTTTTTGTCTCCCTCCTCCCGGTGATTATTGTCTTTATATCTATTTCCTCCTTACATACTCTAGTTATGATTGAGGTTTCCTCGAACTTTCAACTTTCAGAACTCTCTCTCTCTCTCTCTCTCTCTTCCTTTATCTTCTTAACTTTATCTTCATGTTGTATGATGACAATTTTCTCTTCTTATTTGTTTTCTTATTTATCTTCTTACATCATCTTCCCATTTTATACTTATCATCATTTTCCCTATGCTCACTTTCCCCTTATATTTGATACGTTTTCCAATTTTTTATCATCTTCCTGTTATGATACGATGATAACTTTGATATTTTTATATCTATTACTGATGACAATGATGATAACATGATAGTCTTCAAGTGTAGTTGATTGGGAATGGTGTGAAAGTTGAATCAAATTGGGAATCAAATTTTACGAAAACATGATCGGAATCAAATGGATTACAATCTTGAGTTGAATACATACCCAATCAACAGAAGAGAGTCAAAAAAGAGTCAAAAAGTAGGTTCTTTTGGCCATTTTGACTCAATTTTGAGTCAAAATTTTTGATTTAAATTGAGTCAATTTTGACTGCGATTGAGTCAAAAATGAAAAGTTTTAGACATGCAAATTGCTCAAAAAAGAGTCACAATTGATTCAAAGGTTTGTCAAAATCGATCAATTTTGACTAATTTTCATTCAACTGTAAGCAAAGAAACAAATGATTCTTGATCTTACTAAGAGATTGGTCTAAATTCTGGACTCTCAAAATCATATTTCATTTTTTTATTGTTATCTAAGAATTAATGAGGAAATTGGATAATAGATTTTAATTTTAGTTTTATTCTAGATTTTATTCTAGTAATCAGAAATTATTTCATCGAATTTATACAATCAAATATTTTAGTAATTCAAGAATCAATTATTTTATTAGTAGATTGATCATTTATTTCAGAATCATAAGTCTTTCATGGATTCTTGTTACACAAGATCATCGAAACATTCAATATCGAATATACTTGAATCAGTCGGTTCTTCAGTTTCATTTAAGCTATGCGAATCTGCATTTTCCCAAGGATCGTCTTGTGTATGATCTTCTTCTTCTGATCTTTTTCTTTTCTGAGATAAACGATTCAATGAACATAACTCTTTCATAACCCTTCTTCGAACTTTTTTCTCAGCATCCTTGGAATATGAAAAGATATTCGATTTTCGAAATGTATGATCTGTGAAGAAACATTTAAATCAATTAGTATTGTTGAAAAAATGATCCATATTACAATTAATTATAAGTAAGATAACTTACTGAAAAAAGCTCTCAATCTTTCATGACCGATTTTTACATCGAATGATCCTTGCATTCTAGATCCATACGGATCTGGAAAGCTCCATATGAAAGACAAAGGATATTTAGCAATACATGACAATTTATGAGCTCTTTCAAATTCATCAAAATCTTTCTTATCGTAAATTTTTTTTCCAAGAACCACATCATCAATATAAGATCGAGGAAAACTGAATTTCACCAACGCATAAGCAAATGATTCTGGATTGGATGACTTCGCTTGTTTAATTGCAGCCTCGTAAAGGTCCAAATCTAACTGAATCAAACCTTCGATGAAGATCTGATTCTAATTTAATAGAAAGAAGAAGATACTCGGAGATTAATTTTCGTGTTTCAAGCCAAAAGCTGCAAAGGTTCACCTTAACACTTAATTTGTATGTAGAATCAATTTCAGGAACAGAATATGAAAGTTCCTTTTCATTCTCTTTCTTAAGATCGATTATCTTTCGGAAATTATCGAGAACATTAATGATTGAAATCAGAATAGATCCTGTGGTGTCAAGGTTTGAAAGGACAGATGATCTTTCACTCAGTTCTTGAACTTGGTTGTTTATCTTTTCCATCGTAGTTTCAATAAATGATTGATCAAGATTACTTTCAGATCTCTTCTTGACAATTGTTGATTCACGGACGATGTTTCTTTTGTCATTCACTTTTATCGGAGATTTTTGAGATCTTTGATCTTTAATTACGGACTTCGAGTTGATGATAGAGTTCTCATCATTAGCACTTCTTTCGTTCGGTTCCAGTGAGCTTTGAGCGGATTCGATGATTGAAAGATCACATATGAACATTTTTTCATACTCAGACGCTGACAAAACTCGAAAAGGGGGAACATCTGAAACATCATCCAGTGGAACATGAGAGAATTGAATAACTTGATTCCGTATTTTTTTCATCTTTGGTAACCCTTTCCATGAACTGTTTTCATTTATATTCTTTTGTAAACAGATTTTAAGAGCCAACGGAGTTTCTGAATATCAAAAATTCAATGTTATTTTTGAAAAGAACAACAAATTATGTTAGTACTAACCTCCTAGAGCAATGAATGATCCACGAAAAAGTAAATTGTTTACATCAAATTTGAAACAGTTGACTTTAGAATCGAGAAAACTTGAAAATGGAAGATCAATTTTAGATTCAGTGAAATTTTTAGTATCGACTTTCATCAAGATCGGCTGCTTCTGTTTAATTTCGTCACAAATAATGAAAGGAAGAACAATGGCGTAAATAAGATCGAGCTCAAGTTGTTTTGTCAGATTAACAGATCTTTTAACACTTAGACCTTTTCTTCCAGGATCTGAGAAATTTGAGTCGTAAGAGTTGAGTTTATCGTTGATCCCAAAGTTAGTGGTGGATCCAAGACTTTTTGTTGATCTGTTGATCTTTGATGGCGCTTGAAATTCCCAAACACTTTCACTTGTTGTTTGTTTTTAGGTAAACCAACGGCTATTTTTGACTTTTTCATAGTTGAAAGACTTTTTCTTTGAGATTGAATTTCACTGGTTATTATCATCGAAATAGAAACACTTTGATCACAAATTGTAGAAAGATTGACTCAAATAACAAGTATCATTGTATTTATATCAAAAACTTGATTGCGAAAATGAATGGAATTTTAATCTGATTGGGTTTGATTGCGGTTAGATTGAGGTACATATTTTTGAAGAAAAAAGAAAATAGTTCGAGGGGAAAAAACTTTTGGATCTAATTTTTGGACCAATGAAAAATTGAAAAGAAAAAAGATCCTCTATGTTGAACATTGGATACAAATTAGTCTAATTAAATCAGAAAAATTTGAGGAAATTGAACAACCAATAGAGGATCATTTAGGTAGTTTTCTACCTATCAAAAATTTAGAAAATTGAAAAAAGATGTTTGAAAAAATTGAAAAATTGAAAATAGAAATTTGATTAAATTGAGGTATGTAAAAATAGAAATACCGAATTGTTGATCAGATTTGTTGATTTTTCTGAGCAGCAACAATTTGCGCAAGAATTTCCGCGTTCGCTGGATCGGTCAAGAAAGCCAATGTTCGAGGATCAATGATTTTTTTAGCGCTACCAGTCGAAGAAGATGATTTGGTTGAACAATTTGATTCTTCATCACCAGCACTTTGTATTTCAGATTGAGGACAAGACTTGAGCTTTTTCAATTCCGGTTGAGTGGTATTTGATACTTTTCGCTTGCTTGAAGAAGTAGGAATGGATTGAGTCATTGGTAGAAGACCAGCTTGAGATTCCGAAGCAACACTAGTGTGAATACTAGAATTAGTTTCAATTCCAGACTCAGATGATTCATCGAATGATCTAAGATTCTCGTTAGCTGATTTATTCACATCTTTATCCTTGATGATTGTTGGTGTTTGGATCGGAGTACTTGTTCTAAAAGGTTCTGGCATTTGTTGATTTCCGTAGCCTTCTTTGATTTCATGAGAAGATTGATTCATATTCTTGTCGGAATCTTGATCAACACTAGAACTAAACAATTGATTTGGAGGAGATGATTCCAAGTAGTTGATCTCTTCACCATTTTTATCTTCACCCTGAATATCACTAAGAATATCGTCATCATCGTCAAATTCAAAGTTATCATCATCAATTGATTTTTGATCATTTTTAGGTGAAGATGGTTGTGAGTCCATGTTAGGTATTTCCGCTTTCTCAGGCTCCACAATTTCTTGGTTATCATTTTCAACTGCGTTTTTAGATCTTTGCGAAGAAGAAAGACATTCAGACTTTTCATTTCCAGCATCTTTTTCATTGTCAGAACCTTTACCATCACCTGAATGTTGATCCTGGATCTCTGATGACTTTTCTTGATGTTGATCTATTGCATTTTGATCATAAGAGTCGATTCCCTGCACGATTTGATCCTCTTTTGGCAATGGTGATCCTACAGTCATAGTAACAACAGGCATAATGATCCCTGATCTTCTTGTTACTCTGGATGTTTGAGAAACTGGACTTTTCGTGACTCTAGATCTTCGATTCTTTGGTGGAAGAATGATAGGATCATCATCAGAATCTTTTTCACTTTCATAATGATCAAACTCATCGTCGGATGAGTCATTCTCAATATTATCCCAGCCTCTTGATGCATAAATCTT